CCATCGCCGCTTGCGCGGGGGGCCGAGCCGGCGCGCGGCCGCCCCGGGTCACGTGGGCGAGGGAGGGAGGGCGACGGGGCTCCTTAAAGGAGCCGCTTCGAGCCTTCTGGCCATTTCCCCCCCGAGATTGGCCTGGGAGGAGGCTGTGGTGGGCCAAGTGGGGACTAGAGGGGCACGCTCCTGCATCCCCAGCCCTGGGTGTGCAGGGAACCGAGGGGGAGGCCTTCCCGGGCGCACGTGTGGCCACGCCGTCCCCGCCCGGGTTTGGCAACAAAGTATCCTCTCCGCTGCTACTGTGTTTGGCCCCCTGCACCTATCCCGCCTGGGTTTGATTTTCTTTCTAGCGGCGAGCCATAGGATAGAAAGCTGTGCCGTAGTTTCAGCTGCGCTCCTCCAGGAAGCAGGAAGGGGGTGATGGGGACTCAGGAAAGCACCTTTACTTTCGGCTGGCTCTAGCGTGCATAAGCTGGTTTGTCTTATGGAGACGCATCCTTTTTGCAAATCTGAGACCTAGTGTCTCTTCTGTGTGTGCTGGGCTTATGCTGCCACGTGCGCCAGGTAAGGCCAGCAGAGTGATTGCTGTCTGTTGACACTGTAATAACCTTTTTTTTTTTTTTTTGCCGAACACTTTGCAAGCAGTTAAGGCACTACAGTGGGTCATAGTCCAGATGCCAGCTTTAAGTCAACAATAACGCCAACAGCAGTTTTCAGGACACCATCTCCTTTACACATTAAATCCTGGCCAAATACATGTATAGTTCAAACACAGGACTAGACAGGTAGGTGGTTAGTTAGGTTATGGGACACCTGAGGCCAAGTCAAAGCTATGTGGGAACTGTGTTCTCTTTCGTTAAGAACTTTTCGGAGCTTTCTGGGAATTGCAGTCTTGCCTAGGCATCGTAATGGAAGTGTAGAGCATTTTCCAAAAGAAATGACATCCCCCCCCCCGCCCCAAATGCCAAAACACAGATGCCTGCCGGCCATTTCAGCGTGTACACTGGCCACCTGTAGCCTATTCCTTGCACAGGCACCAAAGACCCAAAGAAAAGTTCGTGCAGATTACCAGCGCTGCCAACCACTGGGTATCGGCCTACGTATGGAGGTTGCCCCACTTGGAGGAAGGCAAATCCTGGCCAGAGCTCACTGCTTAGATCCCTACCCCCTTCTTGAGGCTGGGCCTTTTTCCATAAGACTACAGTATTTGTGTCCTGGGAAGAGGTGGTGGGTAGTCATACACATGCATTTGCCAAAATATAAAGAAAAAAAAAAAAAAGTTTTGTTTATTTCATGGAAAACAAAGCAAGAAAACTAAAACCCCAAACTCCAGAAAAAATCCTAAAAAATACGTTTTGTTTTCTTAAAAAATACTGTCTCTACTTCCCCTCCCCCCAAGAGCCCTCCTTGTGTCCTTTTTCCCTAAGTGCCCTGCCCCCCACCCCTCCACTAGCCATTGGTCTTGCTATTGTAACCCCCATTTCCCCATATCTACCCAGGTCACCCACCTCGTGTTCTTACCTGCCACCATACCTTTTTTTTTTTCTTTCCATTTCGGAGCCTCACCCCACAGTCCCACTTCCCCAGCATGCAAGAACCAGCTCCCCTTTCTTTTCTGGGACTCCATAATCGGTCCCTCTTCCCAAAGCGAGTAAGCTCTCTCCTGCCAATTCCCTCCCAATTCCCACCCCCCAACCCCACCTCAAGAAGTGCTAGAATCTTCCCTTAGGTAGCTGTAGGAAAGAGCGGTTTTCCAGCCCTCCAAACTTTTTTTTCCTCCCTCCATGTTCCATGCACCTCTACATGAAGAACTCTTCACTTGAGACCCCGTATTTTCTCAGCCTTGTCTAAGAACCCTGTCTCCGCATCCATCTTTTCTTCTGCTCTGTGAGGCAAGGTCTTCTCTCCAAGCCCTTTCTCCCTCCGAATTGTTATGTCTGCCCCAGAACCCCGTCCCCCAATTCTCCCAGACCCAGGAGCTCTCTTTTCCCACCCAGTCTAGGAATCCCCGCCCCCCCCAGCCTCCCGGCCCTTTCAGCGGATGAGAACATTGATCTCGGCCACGCTGGCTTCCAGCACGTTCTCTGCCGTGGTTTTGCCATGCTGCTCCTTGAGATGCCGCCTGATGGCGGGCTTGTGGGCGAAGCGCACATCACAGTAGGAGCAACGGTAGGGCCTGGCTCCTGAGTGCAGGTTGAGGTGGTCGTGCAGCGTGGACTTCTGCGTGAAGCACTTGCCACAGATGCCACACGAGTGCGACTTAACGCCACGGTGCACGTTCATGTGGCGGTTGAGGTTGCTGCTGTGGTTGAACTGTTTGCCGCAGCGCGGGCACATGAAGATAAAATGTTGTGCACGCATGTGGAAGACCAGCTTCTCGACGCCCTGGAACACTTCGGGGCATTTGGTACACTTGATGTTCTTTAAGGGGTTCCCACTGGAGAAGCCCCCAGGCAGGGGACCCAGGCTGCCCCCCGCCCCCCGGGCAGCCATGGCCACCGCTGCTGCTTCCACTAGGCCAGAGGTGGTCCCCACACTGGCCCGGCCTCCAGGGATCAACAGCAGGCCTTCCCCTTCTGCGTCCTCAGACAGGCTGTAGCAGGCCTTCACCACACCCTGCGGAGGGGCTACAGAGCTGGGGGCCACGCTACTCTGGGCCAGCTCCCCAAGGTGGCTGCTTACAGAGGCCCCGATGCCCAGACCCCCTCCGAGGCCTCCAGGGGGTTTGAGCCTGTGTGCCACTTCCAGGGCGGACTCCACCTTAACGATGCAGATGTCTGAAACGTCCTCGTCCTCATCTTCATCTTCCTCCTCCGCCTTCAGCTCCAGGTCCTCATCCAGTGGGAACTCCAGCTTCACCGGACGCAGGAGTGGAGGGGGTAGAGGAGGTGGGGGTGGGGGTTTGGGGGCTGGCTTTGGGGTCCTGGCTGGAGGGAGGAGGGACTTGGTGGCGCTGACGCTGCTCACAAGGGTGGACTCGCTGACCCCATCCTCTTTGAGGCCTATCTTGGGCTCAATGAACTGGCTGAGGGCGTTCCGGCATTTCTCCACCACGTGCTCCATCTGCAGGTAGGAGGCTGCGGTCAGGTAGTTCACGATGTCCCGGACAGCGAATTCCAGGGCTCCGGTGTAGCAGGAAAGGAGCAGGTCGGCCACGATGCGCGCACTGTGCATCAGCGAGACCTGCAGCTCGGAGCTGGGGTTCAGCAAGAACTGGTCGCGGAGGAACGGTGAGCAGGCAGCCAGGATGACCTTGTGGCCACGGAATTTGAGGCTATCAGCCACAATGGTCACATCGCAGAACCGCTCCTCCGCACGGAGCTGGTTCATGTTCCGCAGAGTGGCGGCCTCGTGGCCAGGCAGCTGGAAGCGCAGGACTTCCACTCCAGAGGCCATTGTGGCGGGAGTGGACAACCCTGGGTGGGAAGGAAACCGGTCAGAGACAAAGGTCTCTGGCTCTGGGGAAGCCAAGGCTCCAAAGGCCCTGCGCCCTGGCTCTTGCGCTGAACCCCTCCCCTAGTACCCCATCTCCCAGTCTTCGCCTCCCTCAGTTTCCCCAATCCAGAGGAGGCGCGGTCCCTGCGAGGGAGGCGTGGTTCCCGGGGGCGGGGCACGGCGTCCACACCCCCCAGTCCCGCGGCCCTCGAGAATGGGGCGAGCCCGCGCGCCCACGGGGGAATGGAGAAAGAGGGTGGGTGGGGAAGAGGCCTGGGGCTTGGGGTGGCCCCTGTTGCAGTCAGTGCTCCCCCACCTCCTCTACCCGGGGCCGGGCTCTTGCGCGGTTTTCCCGTTCTCCCGCCGCCGCCCGTACGCGTCGTGCACGCCCCCCTCCCACACGCAGATCTCCGTGGCACGCCCCCCCACCCCAGACCCACGACCCTTGGGTGCACGCGCTTCTCACCTGGCCCGGTTCCGCGTGCTGATTTCCCCCCCCCTATTTCCCCACCCCCCCGGAGCCAGCAAGCGCCCCCCACGCTCGGGCAGGGCCTGGGCAGCGCGCAGGCGCGGGGGGGGTGCAAGGGGCGCGCGCACCCGCGCGCGGGGCCGGCTCCGCGTGGGCGGGAGGGGGAGGGGCGGGGGCAGCTCGTGCCGAGTGTTCTAGGCCCCGGGCAGCGCGGCGTCCGCGAGGTCTCGGGGAGGAGGAAGAGGGGAGGGAATTAAAGGAGCAGGGTTCTCCTTCCCCGACCCCCCCTCCTTTCTTGCCCGGCACCCCCACGCGGTTAAAGGGCTGGATGGCCGTGCCTCCCCTTTGGCCAGGATTATTTGTCCGCCAGAGCGGAAATACACCACACACCGCCCCCCCCTCTTTCGTGCTCCCCCTCCTCTGTGCCTCTGGGGCCCGCGGTCCTTCTGCGCCTGCGTGCCAAGGGCCGCGCGGAGGCCCGCTCGCTGGGACCCGCCCCCCGGCTCCCCGCGGCCCACCGCGCTCGCGCCGCGTCCCC